TCAGAGCGCTCAGGTCCCATCACTGTCACTCCAGCTCCTGCCTGGGGGGCTGCCTGCCCAGCAGCAACTCACACACAGCCCCCCACCTCGGGCTCCCTGCTCTTCCCCACCCCCCTTTCCTGAGAGCTGGGGTTTGGGAGGAAAGGCTGGAAAACAACAGGCACTGGTGGCACAGCCATCCTGTGTGTGTGCGCAGAGCTGGAATTGGTTTTCCTTGCCCAGGCAGTGCTGGGAGGAGAAGCCCTCTCTGAAGCCTGCCCTTTGAGGCTGATGCATCCCGACAGCTTGTTCACTGGGACATTAAAATCGTTGCCTCTGCCTGCCTGAAACACCCAGGCAGGCGGATGATGGGAACACAGGTCAGGGGAGGATGGTTTCCCTGCAGAACAGAGCCCTGCCGGGGCTGCTGCACCCCCTTGGGGTGGAGCTGGGGTCCCCTCCCACACCAAGGGTGCTGGCAGTGGCAGTGCAGGCAGAACCCTCCTGCTGAGGCTCCTGTTGATAATCCCTGCTGTTGTAGGGTCTGGTGACAGGGTGGGAGAACATCCCCTCCAGTGCCAGCCACGCGGTGCGTGTCCCCAAAGAGCTGGGGGTTGCAGGAAAAGCAAGAGGACATCAGCCAGCTCTCCCATGTTCTCTGTGGAGCTCACACAGGTGCCCTAAGGTCCCACGACAGGGCCGGGCAAAGTGCCCTGTGGGCACAACCAGCCAAGGGGAAGGGGAAGCTGAGTTTGGCAGGAGGGGCAGGCTGGGTGTTGGAGCAGGTTTTTTTATGTCTTTGTTTTTGAGGTTGCTGTCTAGGAGGGGATGTGGGAACCCCCCAGGGCAGTGCCAGGGGCAGCCCCTGTGCCCAGGTGCTGCTTTGGGTGCCTGCAGGTGTCCTCTAAAGCAGTGATCACTGGCTTGCTGAGCCTGAGCAGAAGATGGGGAGGTGTCACAGCCTGCCAGGACCTGCTCACATGTGTACCCACCAGCTCACCTCCAAGGGTGGGAGCCACAGTTCATGCATCTTTGCAGCCGTGTGCTGGTTTGGGTTGGTGGAATTTTTGGTAGCTGGGGAAGGGCCCCAGAGGTGGCTCCTGTAAGAAGCTGAGGAGCTGCCCCTGCTCCAAACCAGCCAAGGAGCCATTAGAGGGACAATGGATGAACCTCTGCCACTGACATATGGAAGGACTGATGTGAGACCTGAGCAGAGTGAGGAGTTAAGAAAGAAGAACTGAGCTGGAGAGGTGAAAGGCAGTGCTGGGGGGAAGATCCCAGGTGGCTGGTGAGGAAGAAGGGGCAGAAGGTGCCCAAGCAGAAGTTTCCCTGCAAGAGGATTTGCTGCCAGTGGGCTGGGATGGTGCAGCTGTGGAAGCCCCCGGGCCAGGGGAGGTTCCCAAAGCCCCCAGGACTGGAGCAGCTCCAGACCTGGTGGGAAGGACTCATGGAGGGAGAGGTTGGTGGAGGATCTGCCATGGGAGGGACCCCGTGGGGAAGCAGGGCAGGACTGTGAGGAATCCTCCTTCCTGAGGAGGAAGGAGCAGCAGGAACCTCCAGCCTGTGACCTGGCTCTAAATCCCATCCCCATCCCCCTGTGCTGGGGGGAAGGAGGGAGAGAAACTGGGAATAAAGGGATTTGGGTGGGAAGAGGAGAGGGATGGGGTGACATGTGCAAGCCCTGTTCTTTGTGTTTCTGTGTCCTGTGGGTGTTTGGTTAGTGTGAAATTAATTTGTTGGTTTTTCCCCAAGTTGAATCTGTTTTGCCCAGGACCTCAATCAGTGAAGGTCCCTCCTTGTGTTTTGTCTCGACCCAGTAGCTTCTGCTTGGGTTTGTCCTCCCCATCCCAGGGTGTGAGGGAGCAGCCCCAGGGCTGGGTCTTTGTTGTCCTGTTGGGCCCAAACCACAGTCTCCATGATGCCATGTGGTCAAACCCTCCTTAGAGGACATTTGTCCACATGCCCATGATTCCTCCTTACCCCTTCAAGAAGAAATGTGCTGAAATTTCAAGCCCGCTGGGACAAGGAGGCTCAGTCCTCCAGACCTGTGGCCAAAATGTTCTTTGCAGTTCTGAGGTTCCTGCTTGGAGGCAGCTTTTGGATTACTTGAGGTGCAGTCGTACCCATGCTGGAACTGAGGTTTGCCCCCAGTGCAGCACCAGTCCTCTGGGAAGTGCAGGTATGTCCATACCTGGGGGTGACCTGCCCCTTAATTGCAGAAAGGCTGAGTTAGGTGCTGCCTGCCTGACCTGCTCCTGTGCATCTCACGGGGCTGCAAGACACAGGAAAAGCAGGTTTTGAGGCTGGCTTTTGTTTCTCTCTGCACTAAAGATTTAGAGGAAGAATCTGTGCTGGAAGCAGAGGTTTCTTGGCCTGGGTGTGCACGTGGTGCAGAGGGCAAGAGCACAGGGAACTTACCCTGCAGCCTGTGAGTGTGAGGGCAGAAGGATTGTAGCACAGTAAGAAGCAGAGCTGCTGGGGAATGGACCAGTTCATTTGATTAAGAACATTGCTGACAAATTCTTTAATGACGTGTTTCCTGGATGCTCAGCTTTGTCTTGGGAGAAACCCAAACCTGTGACCTGAAAGACAAATACAAGTTTCATTCCTCATGAATTCAGGGGCTCTGTTGTTGCTCTGTGCCCACAGGGCAGGGACAGAGGGGCTTGAGTCTGTGCTGGTGAGCACACAGGGAGGCTTCCTTGCAACCCCTTGTCCTTCCAGCATCCTGAATCCTTGCCTGAGCCTCCTCGTTTGCACCTATTTTAATGAAACCAGTGCCATGGTTGGGAGTCTTTTCCCTTCTTTTTCTCAACGCTGGAATCACTGACGAGAAGTTTGTGCTGATCAGCATGAAAAATTCCTAAGGCTTCCTCTTGCAGGGCTGTTTTCCCCAAGCTTTTCCCCGTGCCCTGGGTTGCTCAGGGTGGTGATGGTGCCAGGAGGGATGCTCCAGGAGGTTCCTGGGGTGGTGGGCACCCCAGGATGCTGAGATGTTGTGCTCTCTTCCAGGTCTTCCACTGCTGACCCCTGGCCCTCTGCCCCACTGCCTTCCTGACCTACCCCCACTTCTCCTCCAAAGGTGAGTCACTGTTTGGGCTTTCTGTCCTTTGGCAATTGGTTTGAGACCTGTCCTGCTTGCTGGTGACACCAGCTGGGGCCTTGGAAGCCTTGGCAGAGAGACATCTGAGGTGTTGCAGGGTTACAAAACATCAGTTCTGAGGACAGTTGGTCTCCTGTGCAGGCTCCATCCTGGGTGGTTTTCAAGCCCCCAAAGGGATAAAGCCCTGGGCAGCCTGCTCTGATCTTAGTGCTGATGCTGCTGTGAGCAGCAGATAGGACCACAGGGAGACCTTGGAGGTCCCTTGGGAGACACCAATGGGCTCCTTCCCATGGCAGTGGCATCAGCCCCTCCTGCCCAGGTCCCTGGGGACAAGCTCAGGGGCTGCTGAGTCACCAGGAAGAGGAAGGTTTTCCCTCATGACAAACAAGCCACCCTGGCACCTCAAGAGCAGCACCAAAGTCCAAGCGACCAGTGGAGCCTTCAGCTTGTCCATCTCACCACCCAGATCATATTTTGGGCAACATGGAGGGTTTTTTTCTGCCCTCTGGCACTCGGCTTATTAACTGCTCAGGCTGCTCGATTGATTTTATTGACGGGTGCTGCATGCCCCAGTTAACTGATTGGGAGCAGCAGCAAAAGATAAAGCAATAAAAATAACCAGGCACCCATGTCACGGAAACATGCTGGGTTATTGCCCTTGCTGTGGTGGTGGTGGGATTCCTGGAGGAAGGAGACCCCCCAAGCTTGGGATCCCTCTGCAACGTCTTGTTCCTGCAGCTGGGCTGGGGTCACCTGGGGGGGGGTGTGTGTCTCAGGGGTCCCCTCCTCCACAGTCCTTCTCTTTGGAGAAACTTCCTTTGGTTGGTGGGTGCTGGGGCAGGACCTGCCCAAACCTGCTCTAAGTGCAAAGTGCAGGCAGGGCTTTCCTGCCTGCCCCGTGAACAACCCAAAGGTGACGCTCCTCATCGTTTTGTCCCTCCCCGACCCAAACCACCTTCTGATTTTTTCACTGAAATTTGCTTTTCCTGGGCAATGAGCTGCCTTCCTCCGTCCTGTGCCTAACCCCTGCTGTGTCCCAGTCTGCAGGTTCCTGCTGCAGACCCCCCCAGTTTCCACCCTGCCCTCAGCAATGTCCTTTCCTGGTGCAACCAGACCCTCCGAGGAATCGCTCTGGAGCCCGAGGCCAGCCTGCAGGGTAAGGTAAGGCCAGCTTCCAAACCACAGGGGTCTTTGCAGCTGCACCGTGGGCTCCCTCAGGCTATAAATCATAGAAGTAGGATCATAGAATAGCTAGTGTTGGAAGGGACCTTAAAAATCATCTAGTTCCAACCTCCTGCATGGTCAGGGGCACCTCTCGCTAGACCAGGTTGCTCCAAGCCCCATCCAACCTGCCCATGAAGACCTTCAGGGCCTTCTCCCCTAGGGAGGACAACAAAAGGAAGGGAGTTTTGCTCCCTGCAGGCTGCAGTCCTGCTAGCAGGACTTCTGTGAAAGGAGGGGTTTTGCTGCTGGGGTCCCTTTCTGCAAAGGGGTGTCCCCCTCCTGCATCCCTGCCCCTCTCCCTCCTGGCGCTCGGCCGCCCTGTTTCCACCACGCTGCTCACAGGGGTCCATTAAACCCAGCTAAGCTGAGAAGTGCATAGATGGGGTCATTTTTATCAGCCACTCTGGTGCTGGGGCAGGACCTGCCCAAACCTGCTCTAAGTGCAAAGTGCAGGCAGGGCTTTCCTGCCTGCCCCGTGAACAACCCAAAGGTGACGCTCCTCATCGTTTTGTCCCTCCCCGACCCAAACCACCTTCTGATTTTTTCACTGAAATTTGCTTTTCCTGGGCAATGAGCTGCCTTCCTCCGTCCTGTGCCTAACCCCTGCTGTGTCCCAGTCTGCAGGTTCCTGCTGCAGACCCCCCCAGTTTCCACCCTGCCCTCAGCAATGTCCTTTCCTGGTGCAACCAGACCCTCCGAGGAATCGCTCTGGAGCCCGAGGCCAGCCTGCAGGGTAAGGTAAGGCCAGCTTCCAAGCCACAGGGGTCTTTGCAGCTGCACCGTGGGCTCCCTCAGGCTATAAATCATAGAAGTAGGATCATAGAATAGCTAGTGTTGGAAGGGACCTTAAAAATCATCTAGTTCCAACCTCCTGCATGGTCAGGGGCACCTCTCGCTAGACCAGGTTGCTCCAAGCCCCATCCAACCTGCCCATGAAGACCTTCAGGGCCTTCTCCCCTAGGGAGGACAACAAAAGGAAGGGAGTTTTGCTCCCTGCAGGCTGCAGTCCTGCTAGCAGGGCTTCTGTGAAAGGAGGGGTTTTGCTGCTGGGGTCCCTTTCTGCAAAGGGGTGTCCCCCTCCTGCATCCCTGCCCCTCTCCCTCCTGGCGCTCGGCCGCCCTGTTTCCACCACGCTGCTCACAGGGGTCCATTAAACCCAGCTAAGCTGAGAAGTGCATAGATGGGGTCATTTTTATCAGCCACTCTGCTTTTGTGACTAAAATAGATCCTGCTTTGGCCTGGGGCCGTCGTGTTGGCCCAGGCATTGACTATTGCAAATGGACGGCGGGGCAACATTTTCCATTAGTGAAGCCTCTGAGTGAGAAGACAGCTCCACAAAGCAGAAAACATTGTAGTGACAGACAGGCCCACCTCTCTTCTCTCCCTTTTCTTTTAAAAGAAGTGTCATAAATCCCTGTTTTCTGCACATGAAACCCGGGGAAGGGTGGGCCAGAACAGCACCACGTGCCTGCGACGAGATGGTGCGTGTTGGGTAAGAGGGTGAAAACTTTGGAGGGTTTCTCAGAGGAGCTGCAGGTGACCTGGTGAAAGGGGCAGCAAGGGTAAAACTTGTCAGAAAACCTGTGAGGAGGCTTGTCCGTGGTCACTGACAACCTGGTGGGTACTGGTGGGTACTGGTACTGCCTGGCATTGAGCGTGCATCATCTGAGGTCTCTTCCGTCACTGTCTGTGGCTCCTGTGTGCCATGAGCAGCCTCTTCCAAGCTCATCCATCTGCAGAAGGTTTTCTGGGAGGGCAGAGGGCAGCTTTGGCTTTCCTGCAGCTTGCCTGGAGGCCGTGGCCTGGAGGAAAGATGCACTTTGGAGTGCATCCCAGGAGGGCTCAGCTTCTTCTCTTCCTGCTGGCATCCTGAGCGTGGCAGGTCCTGGGGAAGGGCTCCCCACAGCCAACTCTGGGAAAACCAGGGCATGTCCTTGCCAAGGGAACAGTGTCCAGCCTGGGTCTAAGTCCCCAACCTCCTCCCACAAGCTCTCATGACTGCACTCTGGCCAGCACAGGCACTTTTTTTCTCTCTGGCTTTAGCAAAGACACTTTCCTGTAATAAGTGCTCATTAAAGCATCGTTTGAGTGAACATTGTGACATCCTGCAGCTCCCACCTCCCTCCAGAAAGGTCTCTGGCTTGGTTTTTCTGGCTTCCCATGCTCCCTCTACAACATCCCACCCCTTCTCCCAGGCCTGTGCTTCAGCCTGGCTCCCACTCCCACAGTCAGGAGAAGAACCACCTGGGGCCCAGCTCTGGGCAGGCCAGCAGCTTCTGCCTCAAAATGGTGGGGTTTTCATTTTAAATGCTAAGCCCTCTGTGTCTTGGACCTCTTCCCCCATGGGATTTCATCCTGTAAACTCAGAGCTGACCTTGTGTGAGTAGCACTGTGACATTTTCCCAGAACAACCAGAGGTGTGAGGGACACCTGGAGGAGGATTCAATTTTTGGAGACCACTTGGCACTGGGAGGATGGAGCTGCTGCTCCATCCTGCACCCAGGCAGTGTAATAATGGGTGGTGACTGCTGGTGCTGGGGGCTGGAGGTGCTGTGGGACAAGGAAGGTGCTGGGATAAGGTGAGTGGTGAGGTGGGGTGGGAAACTGTTCTTTCCTTCCCCATGCTGACAAAGGGAAAAACTGGCTCACAGTGTGACACGAGGCTGTAGGGCTGGGGGGGAGGGATGTGCCTCCCAGTGGCAAACGATTTCCCAGTTTGACCCTTCTGCTTAATCTGCACTTGAAGGTGAACCAGCAAAAGCCAACAGCATCGACCCGGGAGGGGGCTGGTCCTTTTGCTCCCTGCTGGGTTGGTTTTTTTTTCCCTGCCTCCCCTTCACGCCTTTCCAAAGCCATCAGTCAGAGCTGGGGCCCCCCCAGTGCTACCAGCACCACCCACCTTGCTGGGGGCCAGGGGGAGTGCCATGTAGACCCTGCTGCCTGATTAGGGCTTCTCCCAGCCTTGGTCACCTCTCTGTCACCTGGGGGAGGCACGTGCTGAAGGCAGTGGGACCTGTGCTGTGGGCTTGGGGGCACGTTTCTCATGGGCACTGAAGTTGTTGGCTGATCCACAGGCTGATTCTCTTGGCTTGGGGTCGGGGGGGGAGGGGGGTCTGATGCCTTCACAAGCAAAGACACATGGATGGTGTTTAATTCAGACTCTGCTTGCAGGGCAGAATGGAGCTTGAGGCATCTCCGTGCTCCTCTGGGTGAGGCTTTTGGGTAAAGTTCCACACAAATGGTGTTCCTCTGACCCAGCAGGAAGCAAAACCTGAGCATTGTTGGGAAACCTAGAGCTTGCCTGGGCTAATAGGTAGAAAGCTCCTTTTTTTTTGGGGGGGGGGAAAGAAAGCAAACAGAAGATGAATCTCCTTCCCTCACCATCTTCCGTGCTTCAGCCACAGATTTTTTTTTGTTTCCCACAGCTGAAAATAACAAACCATTTTAATCCAAGCATTGCTTGTTCTGATCTTTTAATCCAGCTTGCTTCCTATCGACAGAGAGGCCTAAAATTATTTCTCCTCCTGCCTCTATTATATAATTATTCAGACGATTACTCGGGAGGCAGATTGAGCTGGGAATGGGTGGGATTGAGCTGGTGAGGGGGCTGGGAACAGGGAGCTATGCAGGGTGGAAGGTCAGGAGGGGGTTTCATCTCTCCCCTTTGTCACGTTGGCCTTCTCAAAACCCCAGGTGGGTTTTGGGGCACTTTGTGCCGGGGCTGTGGTTGTCACTGGAGTCTGGCAGGTTTCTCCCTCTGCTTGGATTTGTTGGGATGAAATGCCCTGTTGTCTGGCTGGTGTGGCTGGAGAAGCATGATCCTCCAAGTCAGAGAGGGTTTCAGGTGGAGCCCCTGCACTTTTCTACACCATTGGGAAGGATCTGGAAATTGGAATTGTGCTCTTGGTGCCTCCTGTCCCCCAGCAGAGCCATGGGTGGGGGAACAGCCATGATGGAGAACCAGGAGCCAGGCTGAGTGCCAGGTCAGGACGTGGTGGTGATGCTGAGAAGGTGGGGGGTGACCAGAGCTGTGCTTTGTCACCAAAGCCCCAGCTCAGCTGGTTCTTCAAGGAGATGCTCCCTTAGGTAAGAAGGGCTGGAGCCCTTGGGTGACAGGGTGGCTGGGGACAGCTGCTCTGCAGGAGGAACACCACTGAAAAATTCAAAGGCAGATGCCAGAGGGAGATTCCCCTGGAGCTTTCCATGGGCAGAGGTGATGAGCAGGTGTGTCCTTGACATGACAAGGTGGCACAGCCAAGGGTTTTGCCAGAGGAAGGCTCAGGTTGCCAGGAAGATGCAGCTTCTGACTGGTGCATCCTGTGGGCTTGAGCTTTGCTGGGAAAAACAAGAGGATGTCTTGGGCTCCAAATATTTTTTCCTTCCCCAAAATCAAGTATCTGGACCTGGCTGGGCCAGTACCTGCAGTTACCAAAGGAAGGACAGGAGCTGCTTGGCATGTGGACTGTGGCTGGCTGGGATGTGGTGGCTCAGAGCTCCTGTCCCTTAGGAAATACAAAACTGGTGCAAAGAGGGACCCCTGGCATCAGTCCAGGGGTCCCCATCAGATGCTGGGGCAGGTGACATGTCTTGCCTTGCTCCACAGGGCCTCGGGGACCCTCTAGGGTAGAACATCCCCAGAATGGTGCTAGGTTTTAGGTTTGCCAAGGGTCTGTGGGGGGGACACTTGGAAATGCCCTTTGAGCCTGGTGTGGCCGTGGGGTGGTGGGAGTGGGTGCTGCCCACTCTCCACTGTGCTGGCTCCTTCTTCCAAGAAGGCTATTTCAGTGGACCCTCTGCCTCCAGAGCAGAAGACTTGTCTCTTGGAGCAGCGGGTTGGTACAGGCACCCTGAGTTACCCAGGAGGGCAGAGGAGGATGGAATCAGCCTCTGGAGGGGTAGGGGAGGGGGGGTGGTCAGGAGCAATGTAGCTCATCCCCTTCCTCAGAGGCTGAGGGAAGCAGCCAAGCTCTGGGATCTGCAGCCAGGGCTCCAGCCTTGGTCCTTCCCCCTGCTGCTGCTGCTGCCTTGGGAGATGGATGGTTTAGCACAGCCCATCACCAGCATCCAAAAGTGGGTCGCTGTGCCCCCTCCTCTCCCTCCCAGAGACCCCATCCCCGGGGGGCAGGCGGCCCATTACCCTGGCAGAGCATCTCCAAACCATCCCCCTGCACACAGGCTGTGCCCCAAACACTCTGTCTCCTGCCCCAGCTCCTTTCTCCTTCACACTGAGAGCGCGTTGGTCGGTTCTCCCCCTCGCCGCCCCGGGGGCAACCCCATTTGCTCAGTGGCCTTTAAAAAAAATACAAGGGGAAAATAAATAAATAAATAAATCCAAGCCCACTGAAATGACAGGCGGGTGACACCCCCTTTTTCCAGCAAAAAAAAAAATAGGTCACATGCCCTTCATCCCATGCCACGTGGTGGCCTTCCCAGGGCCAATGAGGTTCTGAGCCCTCTGCGCCGCACGGCGAAAAGAGAATTAAATAAATAAAAAACCACTGGTTTTTTTGTTGGGTTTTTTTTTTTTTTGGTGTCTTTTTCCCACCCCCCCTCCCCCCTCCTCTTAGCATTTTTCATCCTTTCCAAACGTGCAAAGGCTGGCCATCTGTCTGGACCCCCCCTCTCGCACCGAACCGACACCGAAGCGGCTCTTTGGGGAAGGTAAGAAGCTTTGGAAGGTGGTGTTGGTGGGGAGACCTCCCGCCGGTGGGAATCGGGAGAGGAACCCTGGGA